TAATATATATATATATAGAGAGAGAGAGAGAGAGAGAGAGAGAGAGAGAGAGAGAGAGAGTTATACAGAGAATGGCTTTTTATACACAAACAATAAATTCTTATTCTCACAACCTCTGAACAGACACTGTTATGCCCCTGCATGGTTTGGAACCACTGGTGTAGTCCCTACATAGCACATTAATTAATTTGCCTTTTTACATTGAAATAACAATGCTTTTCATGTTTCTTTATTTAGACAAAAATACTTAAAAAAACATTTGCTTCTCAGGTGTGGCTGCTTATGTCAGACCTTGTAATGCCCCAAATCCTTAAGAAACACATTTCACTTCATTCATGTGAATATTTGCCGGTGCTCCTATCTACATCTGTTTGCTTAATGTGCACTTCATTCATAAACACTGTGACAGGACTTTTCTGCGGGCTTAGATACAGTTCACAGAGGGCCCATTGTTAAGTAGCCACAGGCTACTGCTCACACATCAGACTGTACGGGAATCAGAGTCTGACACCAATTATGCAGAAATGGCGGGACTTGTTGCTAAAACCGACACATCAGTGGCTTGCTGTTTCCCCTCTGCATCATATATAGCTCAAGGCTCTCTGAGTGTATGTGGGTAATGCAATGAGGATACTAAAGAGACCAAGAGTTTTGTAGAAGACGGGGGCAGATTTTACCATTGAACTCACCAAATGTAATGTTTTTTATATATTTCTGAGTACTGGGCAGATTTATGATTTGCTATCTGAAGCCTCAGGACAACATAGAATAAGTACAGCTGTACAGACAAACTGAAGTGTTGTCTAAGTATCAGCATGACTTTATCTTGATTCCACGGCTGTTTACTTTTTATTTTAATTAAAATCATCAAAACATGGAGGACATCATCTAGTATTTTTTTTCTTTTTATAGTCACAAGAATTTATTTTAATGCACTGCCTTTAAAAAATATATTTCACATTTAGACCAATTTTCAGCTATGCAATATTGTTAGATTAAATGATCTTAATGTCCTCTGAAGTTTGTATAGTCTTGCTGAGAAAATTCTTAAAATGATCCCTAATTTTGCCTTTGAAACATTCTTAAACATGTTCATACATAAATCAAGCACTAATATCATGATGAATCCATCACATTTAGAATGGTGCGCTTAACACAAACAAACACACATGCAGAGATCAACACAGCACTTCACATCTATTGGACCACCAGCTGGCTGACAGCTGTCTAAGCCCAAAATTGAAGGTGTGATAGTTTGACAGCATCGTCTTTTTTGGCATCTAGTCTGAGACTTTAAAATGCTGCTGCAGACTGACACTGTGGAACCGCCACTGAACATTTTAGAACCAGGGTCTTTTGATTCACCTCACAATATTAGTTTTCATCTTTTACACTTTGCAAAACAGTTTTTATTTTCAAAAATGAACTTTAAAGGGGTTAGCCAGGCAAGGGAGCAAAAATGACTGGTTGGGACTAGAACCACCTTTTAGGACTAGCTCCTCCTCTGGGCTGTGTCTCCAAGCTGAGCTTCCTCATCACAAAGCAGACCTGCAGGCTCTCGCAGCAACAAAACAACAACTGGTGAAACCGAAACTGAAATTGAAACTGTCTGCTGAGTTCCCAATACTACTTCTCAGTGCAGCACTTTTCAGATTCAAAATACCTTTGAGGAAATGTGCTTTTAGGTGTCAAGTAAACTGCACAGAGCTTCCGTATCACAGGGGATGCTGAAGCTTTCCATTTTTCATGCTTTGATTTATACTTCATGTTAATGAAATCAATGAGGAGTCAGAGATTTTAACTTTTATGGTCTTTATTGAGGAAAATAACACTTTTTTTTCTGTAAAGTTTAAGTGGTAAAATAGTGTTGGTTTTTAAGTCCGAGTTAGTCCCAGTCAATTTCTAAAGTATCTTGTTTTGTCCACGTTTATCAGTCTACATTTCCTGGTTTTCCACACGGAGGAAGTCCACGACGTGCTTCGGATCTGGGATGGTCCGCAGGATGGAGGGGTCCTGCTGAGGGAGCTGAGTGGTTCAGCACTGCCCCCAGATGCTCACAGCACCTTTAATACTGTCACTCTGCAGTTCACCACCGATTTCTTCACCAGCAAGCAAGGCTTTGCTCTGCAGTTTTCTGGTAAGAAACAAACAGCACAGAGATGAAAATATGGATATATTTGAGGGACAGGATTTGTTGGGATTAGGTTATTTGCTCAAGTGTTTAATTGTGAACCATAGCAAAAACAGCCACATTTTTCTGCTGCATATGCTGAGTCCTTTTAAGTTGATTCATTGATCAAGCTCCTGTTTCTTCTTCTAGTTTCTACTGCAACCTCCTGCAATGACCCGGGCATGCCAACTAATGGCACCCGCAGCGGCGACAGCAGGGAGCCGGGGGACCATGTGGTGTTCCAGTGTGATCCTGGTTACATCCTACAGGGGGCCAACAGGATCACCTGCACTGAGATCAATGGTCGCTTCTTCTGGCAGCCCGACCCCCCAACATGCACAGGTGCTATAAAAACGCAGCACACCACCATAAATTACAGTATGCTTAAATTCCACATGGATTAGCATCAACAATTATCCAAATGTTAGCATATATTTTATTATTGCTAAGTAAGAGCACCTAATGCAGCAGAAACCCCTGTCTTGAATATACTGTATATACATATTTCTTTCAAGTTAACACGACTACCTGTCCATGCTTTGGTGCATCAGTTATTTATTTTTATAAACACCCCAATGAAAACCAAGTTTATAAAACAAATGTATTTTTATCCCTTTCAGGAGATTATGTCAAATTTGATCCATGTGTTTTCGAACACACTTACGTGGTTTATTGAACTGAAGTGAATTCAAATGACAAACCAAACGGCAATATTTCCCTGCATGGGCGGAGCCATAGGGGTGACAGGGGCGGCAAGTGCTCCCCCAGCACCTGATAGGCCACACAAGGTGCCACCCCTAAATAATTGAAAATGGGTGGAGACCTTGGATTTGTATTTGCATTTAGATTTTGTTAAAGATTGTTCTCTGATACCATTGTGATTAATGAATTTTCAGTTCAGTGGGTTTAAAAATGTCTGAATTATAGCCCTTTGTAAAATTAGCATTAGCGGGTAGCTTAATTTAGCTTGACAACTGGCGTTTGATTATTGACTAATTTTAATCACAGTTAATCTTAAAGTGTCTGAATTATAGCCATTTAAAGTTTACTGTGGTGGCCATCTTGAATTTTTGATTAGCATTTATAATTTGGTAAATATGCATAGACATACTGTATTTATGCAAGTATATTACAAAAAATGATATCCTAACATCATCCACAAAGTTGTGGGGTGGTACTATACTCAATCATTTTTTTGTTAAAGTATTTTCATTAAATTCACAATATGTCTGAGTCCGTAAATGTGACCGAGTCTCAGAAAAGGGTTGAAATGAGTTTACCTCCGACACTCCGATCTCCAAGTGAGGTAGTAACAGACCAAGGCCGGCTGACATGATGTGAAAAAAAAAAAGAAAAAACAACAGTGCTGCAGCTTGGTAATGATAATGAACTAATGATATTAGTGTGTGGCCGGGCCACTCTTGGAACAACAACAAACACACGGTGGTCTGTAATGGCTGCCGTTCACCGGTGTTGAACAAAAATTTAGTTTGCCCAAAAAACATTTCCCCACCATTGCTCACGAGTAGACAATACTGTAGTACAGTAATCTGTTTTTCCACCAAAAGATGGCCACAATCTCATGTGAAGTCTCTGAGTTTTGTGTTGGCGCCCCTGGTGGACTGTGTAAAATGCTGGCATTCTACGCGGGGGTGGAGGGTGGGGATGGTATTATTCACAAATAAATACAGTATAAATTTTATGGCTACTCCTACACTAATCTTGAACTTTGTATGTATAAACATGACTGAACAATAAGTTGTGACTAACATTCAATATGTTTTTTTTTTTTTTTTTGCTAGGATCACACACAATTTCGGTTTAAAGTTACTTAGATTTTTTCTTTATTGGTAAGAACCATAAATAAACATCTTGGCAAAAAAGTCTAACTCTGCCATTATTTCTCTGGCCAATAATGCCCACTTCTCAGACCTTTGTTTCTTTTAATTCAACAATCACTCTTGCTCTCTAAAACAAAAACATGAAATACAACTTTTTTTAATTAAGACCTTGTAATTATCAGACATGTTTAATCATCACTAGTTTCATATAATCATATTTGCATGAGAGATTGGTCAGTTCACTGACACAAGTGGTGATAAGGAAGTCATGTCTCAGTTATCTCTGTCTGTTGTAACAGTCTCCTGTAGAGAGGTCAATTACAGCTTAGTTGCAGTTAATAATTAAAAGTTAAAAGTCTAGTTGCAGTGTGGTTGGGGGCAGTCTTTTTTTAACATGTTTAATTATTATTTGTGTTTTATTATTTTCCACAACAATTATTATTTTTTAGCTTTGATAAATCTTAAAATTAAATTAGTCGTGTGATTTATTATCCCTTCATGTGGCATTTTGTGGCATCCAAAGTTACTTCCAACACCAACATTCTAAAATTAAAATACATTAACATGACAGTGGTTGTATTTTATTTTGCCTTACACCCTTCCTGTTTTTAATATGTCAACCAACGAGCAGTTAGAATTACTAGGGGAACTGTAAGTCATGTTTAATTATTACAACTTAGATATAAATTATTTATTCTATAATGAGACAGAAGATCAAAAAATCCAATATTGTTTTGGTTATTGGCTGTATCAAGAAATCATCATTATCTTGGTTCAGAAAACAAAATCAGTATTATAAAAAACACACATACAGTGATACAATGAGATCCACCATTCATGAAGGTTGTCTTATGTGGAGTAGAAACCTTGAAATATGAGCAACTAGTGTTTAACTTAATCCAACTGTCAGCTGCTTTCCTGTTTTTGTTTCCTTGCAGTTTTAATGTAATCTAGAGTTTCCCTTCACTTTGAAAAATTCAGGATAAAAGAGGAATCCAAACAGAAACTGACTAATTGTTAAACAAAATAAATGGTAGTTCATTCCTAACATTTTTTAATTGTATTTTTTTTTGTCAATATTTTTTCTCTCCTCTTATAGCTCCATGTGGTGGGAACCTAACAGGTCCGAGTGGGTTGATTCTGTCCCCAGACTATCCTGAACCTTACCCACATGGAAGGGAATGTGACTGGAGAGTCACCGTCACACAGGACTATGTCATCTCTCTCAACTTCAATCAGTAAGTTCGGTTCCATGGCAAACTGAAACGAAGCAAACCACAAAAAAATCTGATTGCCTTCTTATTGCTGACTGTTTTTAACCAGGTTCAGCTTGGAGCCCAGTTATGACTTTTTGCATATCTATGACGGGCCAGACTCCCTAAGCCCCTTGTTGGGTAGTTTCTATGGTGCAGATGTTCCAGATCACATTGAGAGCAGCTCCAACACGCTCTTCTTGGCCTTCCGCAGTGATGCTTCCCTCAGCAGTAATGGATTTGTGCTGCAGTACACAGGTACACACTTTTGTTTAAAGGCTAATTGGACAGAACTATGATCCTGGGTGTCTGTATCTCAGTGAGGTTTTAATCTCTGGTGTATCCTGATCCTGAACAAAACTGGGATTTTTGAATAGGATGTGGGGTTTTAATCCTCAAACAATTCATGTCTTGTGTTCCTCTTCTGGCAAAGTGATAATGGATTAACCCTCTGCTGCTTAGCGACCCCGTTTTTTTTTTTTTTTTTTGGTCTTTTTTCCCCCACTTATCTCTTGGCCAAAGTGAGTCCGATTTGCAAAGTGAGAAATGCTTCAATGGGGAAAAAAAGTAATCTGCGTCCTGATCGCTTCCCTGCCCTCCATGCCATGATCTGCTTGGGTGTTGTTATTGATGTGCACCTCCTCCAGTAGCCTACTAACAAAAAGAATTCTCTTTTTGATTAGTGCCGCTGCACAAAAGGCATCTGATGAATTAAAGCAAACAGCATTTTGTTGTCTCGTGTCAGAGCTCGGCTGACCGCAGCACATTGTTCAGAGGATCCAAATTTATGTGCTCACGTAAAGCGGAATGACCATGAGCGTTCTTGATAGAGGGCCAGTTGTTTTAGCATACCGCAACACATCAATGTTTTCTACATTTGTTTATTTTTCACTCTCATTGGCTGCATTTTTAAAACATCTCCCTACAAATATACAGATGCTGAACAAGCTTGAAATTAGACAGGGCATCTTTAGTAAGGCCTCCTTGCTTGAGGAAACAGTATTAAATCTTCCTAAATCTATCTGCTTCAATTAGGGCTGTTTAAGGTATCAGACATTTAACCAATTCCAAATCGACCCTGAGCTTGCTGTTTCTTGGCTGAAGTTCAGATGGGATTTGATCTATACACACAAATGAGCAAATTTCAAAATGCTACCGGTTTGTGCAACACACTACAGCGATTTGTTTTCAAGCTACATATAAATAATGGAAAATGGTCTTTTAGTAGGACAATGTAACAGAGCTTGCCCCTTAACTCACTCGCAGTAATATTTACTGCGGCGTGTGATGCTGTGTGTGATATTGTACGGCCAATCTGGAAGGAGGATGGACCCAGTGTGTCGCTCTGAAAAACTCTTTCACCCCACTTCCAATTCTCTACACTAATGAACCATAACCAAATAATACATAAATTACCTCCTCAGCTTCAGACAAACAACGTGGCACAAAGGCATGTTTGCCTGCGGGTATGGGTCCGTTTGGAGAGAATGCAGCAAGTTGACAAGTTGGCTCAGCTGGCATTTGGTCAGGCTGCCACTGAAAATTGTATTATGAAATAAGCCCAATGTACTGTCAGGCTCTTTGCAGATAAGTCACACAAACACTACTGTGCTCTAATGCAAACACTACTCCCACACACTCTCATACAAGCAATCATAAAATCTCAAAGGGCTTCTCCAATATAATAAGTGTTTTTGTATACAGTATATATCTGTCTAATCCAATGCCTTTACCAAGTCTGAAGCTGTCTTATTTCACATCGCTTTCATCTTTGAAAATAAACTTAGAATAACAAGTAAGGAAATTTGTGTTTGGTATAACATTTTTTGTTGTAACAGTGCTTCTTGGCAATAAATCCTATATTGTTGGAAAGCCTGTGAAAGTGCTTGTGGCATGCATATCTTTAACATGCAAAAAATCAGATAGACATTTTTTTTATTTTTAAGAAACTTGGCAATATGAAAATTATTTCACTCATTTTGTCTTAAAACTTGTATCACTTTTGAACTGAGCTCAGCCAAAATGAAACAGGAAGTGACATCAAACAGGAATAAACAAAGACCAGGGAGTTCTCTTTAAGAAAGAGAACTCCCTGGTCTTTGTTAATCTCTCTGATAGTGACTCAAAATAATCTAAAGAAACATCACATTATGTTTTACTGTCTATGCTATTAGCAATTGCAGCAAAGCTCTGTTTACATTCAGACCTTGAAATCACTTCCTGTTACTTCACAACAACTATTCATCTTTGGGGTGTGTTTTTGTTCACAAAGATTTATCAGTGTTTTCTTTCCAAAAATGTATTCATATTTAGTACAAAAAATTGATGTCGATTTGATGTTTAAATGGTGCCACATTTGTAAGGAACATGCAAGCAGAATAGCTGAGTATGTGGGTTGCTCACATGAAAAGGTTGCGAAATCTTCTCAACCGAACAGCTTATTTTGCTGTTGCTGTTGACACTTGTTTTGAGCTTCTGGTACCCTCAGGCGATGCCAGTTAGGCGCCTGGTAAGATTTATTGCCAAGAAGTGTTGTTATAACAAAGAAATAATATACCAAACACTAATTTCCTTATTTTTTGTTCTAAGTACAGTATATTTTAGATGATCTAGGGCTGCAACTAACGATTATTTTAATAATCGATTAATCTGTTGATTATTTTTTCAATTAATCGATTAATCGGCCAAATCATTAAAATGCTTAATTACATAAAAATGAGTAGATATAAATTAAGCTAACTCCTTAAAGATGCAAATTATTGATAATGAATTAATCTGAAGTTGATTTAATTAAGAAGCAGCCATTTTTTTAAAAAAAAAAAGCAGAGTTTTCTCTTGAATCAAGAGGGTCTTCCCATAAAATGAAAGGTTTTTTATAATCTCCTGAATTAAAAAACAGAAGCACATAATACATATTTTAACAATTTATTTTGCCAGCTGTATTAAATAC